GTTTCTACCGAAAGTCACGCGATCGCATCCGATACACACATGAAGTCATCTCAAAGATGCAATTTTGTACAAAGTAGTTTACCAGCAGGACACGCGAAGGTCACAAGATAGGTACCCGACTTTGTATTTTAGTACGATGCCTTCGTACGTGGTTACGAAGGCGTCAAGTGACCTTCACCTCCGGGTGGTATAAAACCCACGGCCAACCGCGTCAAATTTCAGTTGCAGATAGTATTGGGAGCTAATTAAACTACATTTAAACTTTATTTTGGCTCTTCATATTACTATCAAAAACAATTCTATTCACACAAAAATCTATGATAAAAGTGACGACTTTGATTATGGTATAATAGTAAACTATCCACATTTAGATGGAGACGTACCGCATGCAACATTTGACGGGGTATATGTAACTCGGTAAATTAGATTCGCTAGAGCTTTTAGCAACGTGAAGGATTTTAACAAGCTAAATATTTTCATTACTAGCAAGCTACTCAAACAGGGCTACCGCTATTATAAATTACGTAGATATTTTACAAAATTTAACAATCGTAACTTTGATTTAATCTCAAAATTCAGTAGTGATTCAAAAATGATTTTAACGGAGATGTTATTTACAAACTTTGTAAGATCTTTGGTCATTGTTGCCTTTACTAAAATTATTAACGTTTAACCAAAAGAGGTTTTGACTACTTTTTTAGATAAACCGCATACATAGTGTTCAACACTTTAACAGTTGGCCCTTTCCTCTTTTGATTACATCTGACGGACCAAGTAGGATAATCTATGATGGACAGTTCTTAATGCCTTTTGGGACTGAATTGCCTTAATGTTCGTCTTCTGCCTTGATTCGTCGGGCCCTTGTAGGTGATTTTTTTGTTATTCTGTCTTCCTTTAAATTATTGAGTACTTTTGTTATGGTCATATGGGTATTCTACATAATCATCTTGGTGTTTTACTTATTTTACCTTTTGAAACCATAACAACTGTTATAAATTTACTTGGCGGGGATTCAGTTTATATACACCGTCTCGTTTATAGCAACATGGTGGGCTAAGAGTGATTTTTGGTGCACTATTAACCGGTTTAAACTCCCCAGCAGTGTTTATGCTGCTGACCGGTCCAAGGCGGCGCTCTTTGTTTTTCATATTCATGTCTTTGTTATTTCATACTGTTTTTGGTGACACTTTTGTCGGCATCCCTTGTTGTTTTCTCGTCTACGGTATTTTCCCTTTTGCCCCTAGTTTTATTTATTTAACAAAGATTTTAGAACCGCTCACGAAGTTGCTGCCGGAGCTTGTAATATTCAGCCGGGGATCATACGATGGCAAAAGATGCCCTCACGAATGGCACGATGTTATTACGATAAGATCCGAATTTGAACATTTCCTTGTTCGTGTGTCCATCTGATGCCAAATTCGGGACAGTGTGACGCCTGCATTACCATAGTCTTTGAGAAGCAAAGACACGAAGCAATGCGCGATATTTTTTACCGAGAGACACGAAAAGAGAAATTCCGGCAAGACATGAAGCGAGGCACGATATTCTACCGTGAAATTTCGTGTTACGGGATGCTTTGACATTGCGAGATCTCGCGTTACAATATCGTGCCTCCCTTCGTGTCTCGTCGGAAGTTCGCTATTCTCCCGATTCTGTGAGGCCCGATGTTCCATAATTATGGCATTACCCGGATTCTTTTAGGAACTCATGCTCGTTGTAAGTGCTTTTTCAATGGCGAATGTGAAAGCAGCAATTATCCGAAAATGGCGATATTTCTTATATATATTTCTGATGAAAACAAAATACGTGTGGGATGATCTTCTCATTTTCTTCCTTAAATCATTTAGGGGCCTCCGTAGCCAAGTGATTTCAAAAAACCGTTTGTTCGTAACCGCTGTAGGTTCGACACTCACTCGGAGCGTCAAACTATTCATGCGTCCAGGGTCCAAAGTGCAGAATACCTATCCGCGTGCGTACGTAATAGTTATCGCGCTCGCACGCAAAAACTATCCCTTTAGATCGTAAAAGTTTTCGCGTGCGCACGTAATAGTATCGCTTGGCCACGTAATAGCTATCACGCGCGCACGTAATAAATAAGAAAATCATATGTCCCTTTATGCCACCGTAGATATTACCTTATTGTCTTAAAGCATTTATAAGAAGGAAACGTGTAAAGCATTTATAAGAAGGAAACGTGTCACAATTTATAGCGATAAATGGACTCGCTGAATATGTGTTTGGGTTCTGATTATTGCGCTGATAAACATTTTCATTGTGACATGCAGAACAGGGATATGCAGAGGCAGGAAGTTTGTGATTGACCGAAAGCGACCTAAAAACGGTTTTATAATAAATACAGAAACACAGAACAATGGCTAGAAGCCGGTATACGGACGGGCATGGTTATTACCTTTTTAGAATTTTATGGAAAAATGTGAGACAAATGTGCTTCGAGTGTCCTTTCTATTGTGTGTCGAAAACATCTGTCTCATTTCCAATTTGTCGCAAATATGAATATTTACGACCACATCAGTCACACCTCTTGAGACAATGTGCTCCGAGACAAATGTGCTCCTACAGAGCTACCTTGAGCTGCTCAAACTGAATGACTTTTTACGACGCGGTCCGTTGCTGTAGTATTTTCTCGCGCATGCGCAATCTGCGTAGGGCAAAAGATGATCTCTATAGTAGAAGTTTATAGACATTCTGAGTTTGCTGACGGTAAAGAGTAAAAAAAAAACATTAACTTTATAGCCAAGATGGCCTTAAAAATACATAGAAAGTTGATTTTATTCAGACTTCACTTTCCGACCACGTTGGACTTAAAATACTTGAGATAACTGTTGTAAGAAATGTGGAAATATATTTATTATCATTAAAAAACATCTATTTAATTTATTCTTCTTTGAATATTTCACATAAAAAAACTAAAGAGATATAATATAACATGTGAAATCAAATTACATTAGAAATTATAATTCTGAAAACAACAGCAACAAAAACAAAACAAAAAAACAAACAAACAAAAACGGCCAGAACATGTGATAATGGATGTTCATGAACATATTTTTTAGTATTCAGTTTGTCTGATGTTAACCTTTATCTGATTTGATCGTGACGCCAGTCATATAACAATATATACATGTTTAATTAATGTTACAAAATCTTGAGAAGTTAAGAACATTTCCCAGATGGATAGCGACATAACGCACATTTTATCCAGTCGATCGGAACACATTTTCAAAATTGAGGTAAATGCATCACACACTATTATTCACTTCAAACATTGATAAGACAGGTACATGTAAAACTTATTAAAATACGATTATCATAATTGCATTAAAAGTAACAATCGGTCACTTCTCGATCTGTTTTACGCAGCCTACCACTTATGTAATATTATGTTATGCACGGGTAATGAAATTTAATCTTCAACCCCCTGAACATATCGCCAAATGATACTTAAAACAGAGGACTTTTGTACGCACTTTTGGATTATTGAATTACATGTAGTTAGTCCAACATATTTTCTTATATCTATTATAAATAGCAAATCACGTTTCATATACTTCCCGCTTAAATTCACCATTGCAGCGGTTATTTATCAAAACTTAGTGTAAATCATTTAGATTATATTAAATGGTTAGTGAAGTCATTGAATACTGATAGAATCTATTCTTTCGTTTTTTCCATTTTGCCCTACGCAGCATGCGTATGCGCGAAATACTACTTCCATTTCTATTGTCTTTTAGTCAGAACACGAACACAGCGGAAGAAAATGTCAAATAATCAGAGTGCTGAGTGTTAGTTTATTTGTTCATTATACCGACAAGGGAGATAACTCTATTTTAATTTCACTCCTCTACATTTTGATAGTGTTTAATACAAATTTGAGTACAAATGAATCTTTAAATCCAAAATAAGTAATGTTTTAGATAATCCTTCTGTTTTAAGGTATTTCAAGCAGCACCCTTTTACATATGTAAAGAAATTTTAAAACATCAAACCTAGCGAAATTTTATTTAGGAAACAGATATCAGTTTTGAGTGCAACACACAAATCAAGTTCAGATGCGCAGTAGTTGCAAATATTTAAATGGACATATTCTCGGCGCTTATTGTCTTGAATTTATTTTAAGTATACCAATCATTTCAAGTTATCCAATTTATTTTGCTTCGACCAGACGTTTCAATCTTTGTCGCAACAGACAAACATTTCAGAATTTCAGACATGGTATTACTTTGTGAATTTATGCATTAGGTTCTACTCTTTCATAAAAATATGCTACTTCATTATAAAACAATGACCACATACCAAAAACATGGAGAAAAAATTAATTTGGGCTTCGGATATTCAACTGTAAAAGAGAACGATATTCAATGCTGATTGACTGTTCACAACATTTGGCGGCGTCTTTGATGTGCAGCATCAACAATTAACTTGTAATAGTCTGAATCACGATAAACAGCTCCTGTAATGACGAAAACGTCCGTCCTTTCAACTATAACTTTATTGCTGGAGAAATCGCACCAGCAATAAACTATAATATGTCTTATATTATGCTGAATGATAATATATGTATCATACATACGAAATAAATAGATAATACAACTCAGAACAATATATTGTCATTATATTAGAATAGATATAATGCATGACCAATTTTAAAAGTGTGACTCGCCATACTTTTTATTAGATTTTCTTATCGATCGAATTTTAGACGTTCTGTAACAAGTGACTTTTGAAATGCAATTGCAACGGCAAAACTAAATGTGCCATATTGTAAAATTTACGCATCATATCAGCGCAAATTTACGCTTACGTTACCATGGTTTTTAAATACGCTGTTCCGATAAAACTGTTTGCGTTATCAGATATAGATTTAGTACATAGATATTGGTTTCCGGTAAAGTGTGATATATAACAATAAGTGATAGACTGAAAGTTCTTCAATTGACAGTCCGAGTCGGGTTTATTTTTGATCATCGTTATTATCTTACCATCATAATCTATTTGCCCGTCACCATCCTTGTCTGCTTCTCTAACCATCTCGTCTACCTCCTCGTCTGTCATTTTCTCACCGAGATTTGTCATCACGAATCTTAACTCTGCTGCCGTAATATAACCATTGCCATCTTTATCAAATACCTAAAATATATACGATCTAAGTTACATCCATTACTTTACATAAGCCAATTTTGATGTATAGAATGTAAGTAGGTTTTCATTTATTTGACTTCGAAATTTTGGAAAGAATCCAACATAAAATTCACTTATTTTAGACAAATACATTGACTAATCATTAAATGCTGTTTCATCGATTCCTTGTGGTCAATGATCGAAGTTTATGGATAATATATGTTTTACTCACTTTAAATGCGTCTTTCATGTCTTGTTCTTGATCAGAACTCGCCATTTTTGAAGACATCAATTTAACAAATTCATCAAAATCTATTGAACCGCTACCTATAAGAAATTAGTATCATATAAATTTCTGAAAATGATAACATACACAGAAGATGCAGCCTTAAGTAATATTTTATACAAGAGTTTTTTGTAATTAACAAGTCTGAAAAAGTCAATTTAATAAAATGCTGATTTTTCACATACATAGAAGAATCTGTTTTTGAAATATGTAAAAGAAGCGAATGTTTTATTAACAATGAAAACGTATGACTGCTTATGACATCGAATTAGATGATGCAAATTATTTTCTGTTGGAAAAAGTCCAGAAAAATATGTAATTAACCATCGGCGTCCACCTCCTCAATCATTTCTTTTAATTCACCCTCTGTTGGATTCTGACCCATAGATCTCATCACGGTACCAAGCTCATCCGTGGATATTGTCCCGTCACCATCTTTGTCAAACAGACAAAATGCCTCTTTGTATTCTACAAAAATAATACATAGACATTACATTTCTACATTTGTTCCTGTTACTTGCTACCATCAGTTTGAGAAGAGCTTTACATAATTAGCGCATAGCCTTTTTCTGACAGATGTTGTTCTGGCTGTTTCCGGGAATTCCATATATTTAGTGTTTAAGCTTAAACTTGCCATATGTTGCCAAAATGATACTGTACACCTTCCGACTTCCTACGTATACGTCACATGTTGTTTTTTTTTACTTAAATAAAATCCGTTTTGTACAATACCGTTTATTGTCAACAACATGCATGACAAGGTGAAAATTGCGAACTTTGACTAATTAAAGGGCAATTACGCGATCGCCCATTGAGAGAGGCAAAAATGTTGGACAAGCGAAAACCAATGTATATAACTTCATATGGTTAATATTCACATAAAGTTTCATGACCCTAGCTCAAATACTTTGTTTGGGCAACATGTGACACAAGTGTAGTAAAAATTGCAAATTTGTACTAAGTGAAGGACACTAACTCTGGCATTACTGCGGGAATAGGAAAGCTAAATCTCAGGTGAACAACTATATTTAAGTTTCATGACCATGCCCCTAATACTGTTGAAATTACACGTGATACAAGTTGACAATTTTCGAGTTGACTAAGTCAAGGGTAATAACTCTGGCATGTCTCCCCAAAGCGACAAGCGAAACCCCAGGTGCACAATAACATATGCTGGCCAACGTTCATGTAAAATTTCACCCTAATTAAATTATTTATGGAGCAACACTTATGATTCCGCGACGGACATACCCACGAACGCAGGCATTTTATATATACAAATGTATATAAACATTTTCTGCAAATATGTACATGTATGTAATTATATTGGAGCTCTTAGAAAATTTGCAATACTATAGTGTTAGACTGACATGTAAATGGTAAAAGGCAATTGGGATTTGTTACTTACTTTTGAAAATGATTTTATCGTTGAAAATTTATTCGTTGGGTTCTGATTTATCTAAAACCACTATTTTGCATGCAAGTAGCGTATCATAAAGTAACATGTGTCAAAAAAGCTTTGAGAATACAACCATTCTTTTACATTTCCATAAATGTTATTGAAAAAAATACAGATTACATATTTTTCGTGAATCTTTATTTTGACGGAATCTATGTAATGCCTTTTAATCAATCTTTAGGTCATATTTTACTCAAATCACTGCACTCGTCAATAAAAACTACTATAAATAAATTTAAGTGGTTTAAAAGATTGGAATATTTTTTTTTACAATTTATTAGTAAAAATCCAATTACCTTTAGACCCTTTTATGTCGCTATAAATACAGTTGCGAAGTTTATGACTTTGTAATTCGAATATGAAGCGATTGACATAGCTTAGTTGATTTTTACGACAAATCCATATTGAATGAAATTTTATGTTAAATTTTTATAGTATTGTATCTCCAACTAAGATCCTTTCATCTATATATAAAAGTTTTTTTTAGGAAAAGATACAAAAAAATTAAAGAAATGAGTCATCTACTAATGCTCTGCATATAATTTAAAGAAATAATTTAAGAAATCTAAAAAAAATGTTTGTCGAGGATTGCTATGTTATCATAATTACCACAAGCCTACAAGTTTTGCAAAACGTCAAAATTCAGGAAAAACATTATCAATGTAAAAAGTAGTAGTAGTAGACAAAGTAAACACAATAACAACATCATCATTATAACATGGCATAGCGTAGGGTTCGAACCTATGAGTGCAAATCATTAAAAGGTACAGTTGCGTTGATTTGCCACAACGATGGTTTACATATAGTTAGCGACACTTCCAATCTGGGATAATATGCAGACTTTTCCTTTACTGGACTTTCCCAAGTAATGTTTAGACCAAATTATCATCCTAGGACAATACTACCGGTATATCCTGTCATTTAATATAACGGTCAGTTTGTGTTTACTTTGCTGATTTATATCTACAATAGTAAACAACGCGCTGGACATTTTCAAATTAAAAGATTAAATCTAAGCTTCTACAAATTTGTACAGGCTTTATTTTCACCGACGACTGCAAACAAACAGTACCAACGCTTAAATCAAAAAAGTATTACACATCCAGCTAAATATTGAAATATGATGGTTGTTTTACATACAATGTTGAGAAAAGAAGTATATACTAGTATAAATTTAATACTTAGTCTAGTAATACCAGTAAAATTCAATTTTAAGAACGTTTAATAGTATCAAATATAGTTAGTTTTATTGATATACTCTTTATACCCAACAATAGTCTCGTCGATTTATGTATATTGGACGATAAGGGAAATAATATCAGTATCAGCGTGTTTATCAACTATTTAACTCCGGTTTGGAGTAGAAATTGACCATACACACTTGCTTTTAGTTGGGAACTTTATTTGGTGCAGTTGTATCAAGGTGTCGATGAATAAAAAAAAACTCTTCAAAGAGCTTTATTCATTGAGAATTATACATGTATACAGTATGCGACGTAACACAGCTTACAGTCGTTTATACTATGCTGCTATACATCATGTACTAACAATACACATGTATTATGTGCGTTTCATACAGAGAAGAGTAAAAGTAAGACTTATCTTCAACCCCTTAGTTTCTTTACTGTCGGCTGAAAAACTCTATGCAATTTGATATCTAAAAACCCTTGATCTTACGATAAGCAGTTGCAAAAATCTAGATAAAAAATTATGTACTAAATGCAACAGGGTAAATTTGAGAAAAGTGTAATAATTTCAAATAAGTAACGACATCTACCATAGCAGCGAGCTATTTATAGCTATTTACAAGTCTGCTGACAGTCACATTCACAATTAAAATAGTTATATTGCGTTTTGTAATGCTTTTTAGGGAAGCTGGTTATTAAATAGTCACGACACTGTAAAAGGTAATGTTAAGATTTTACACCTTCATTGCAAGAAGAGTTATTATTCGGGTGTTTTTCTTGGCAACTTGACCACAAGCTAGACAACTAAGAGCAACCCCCACCCTAAGTCCTCACCTCCTTCGCTTCTTGTCTGTCAGTAAATGCCCAAGTATGCCAGACATTGTCAGTCCTTCGACGATTATCTAAGAATCAGATGTTTCTTGTATTTTGCATCTGTTTATCATTTCTTTTTTTTGAAAATTTGAGAAATGTTTCATTTACCTGCTATTTCGTCTTCGCTAATCTCACGTTGCTGTTCCGTCTGCAAGAAATATCATCACCATTGATTAATGTAAGACAACATGAATTTCTATAATGGTCGTAACGCATGATGATTCCGTATTTTCAAACATACCAGGAATTAATTAAGCACTTACATATTTGTATTAGATATTAAATACAAAAGACGTACTTAAATCTTTTATTTAAAAAAGAAAAACTTATCATACAGTGACTAGAATACAGTCTTTTTCTCTTTTTTCAGATAATGTTTTTTTGACACTGGCGAGGATAACATTTGAGCCGCGTCACGACAAAACCAACATAATTGGTTTGCGACCAGCATGGATCCAGACCAGCCTGCGCATCCGCGCAGTCTGATCAGGATCCATGCTGTTCGCTTACAAACCCTATAACAAGTAGATAAACTGATAGCGAACAGCATGGATCCTGATCAGACTGCGCGGATGCGCAGGCTGGTCTGGATCCATGCTGGTCGCAAACCCACTATGTTGGTTTTGTCGTGACGCGGCTCATTTAACTTTTTCCTCTTATATGATCGGAAGTAATGTACATTGTTGATTGTAAACTTTTTTTCAAACATTTTTAGTACCCGTAAGGAAATGCTAAAAAAAATAATGAAATAAAAAAAAAATAAAAATAGCAAGTAAAGAAAAATGAAATTGGAAGTATTTTAAGTCCGCGTCTTATCTGTGTATATAAATAAATGTTTATCACTAAAATTCTACACAAAAATTGGTCAAACACAGAAAAGGTCGGGTTGCATTTCTATACCAAATATCATGATGCTGTGATGTTACGAAAAAATTTACCACTGACCATTAATGAGGTAAATTTAAGTAAGTCAGTCAACAGGAAGTAAATGAGCGACAGCCCGCTGTATGGGACCAAATGTCAATGTTGTATGCCAAATATCAAGAGGCTGTGATAAGAAGTTGCTGAGAAAACTGTTACGAAAATTTGCTATCCATGAACATTAATGACAAAAAACAGTAAACAGGAAGTGGTGAGCGACAGACCTGAAATCAAATCCCACAGTATGGGGCCACATGTCTATGCTGTATGCCAAACATCAAGAGGCTGTGATAAGTAGTTACTGAGAAAACTGTTACGAAATGTTTTCCCCGCCCGCCTGCCATAAGCCCGCCGCCCGACCGACATTCACCATACTAACCCGGGTTTGCACCTGTGCAACCCGGCCGAAATTAAGATATCAAGCAATTATGTAATCAACACAGACTTACTAAACAGAAGAGAATTTTTTATGATTTATCTTAACTTATTTATTGTTGAAATACTATTTTATTCAATGTGTTTAACTCGGGAAGAATGTCATTTATTGCTTTTCCCTACATAAATATAATGAAATAATGAAAACGTGTTTATTAAGCTTTTTATGAAGTACTTTTCCTTCTTTTTATTTTAATTAAGTGACACAAATACATGGTTTATATTACTGATAAAACCAAATTTATGCGGGCTTGTCATATATGTAAGAATTAGTCTTATAATGTCGCATTCAATATAAAACTAAATGACATGATACACTTTCAACACGAACATGTCTTTTCTTCATCATTACTCAAGTTTGAAAGTTAAAGATAAATCGCATAAAATATTAACACATTCAGTTAAATAAGATTAAAAATATGTGAAAAATTTACTCACCATTGCTTTAAATCACCTTTCACTTATTTAGCTCGCTTGAAATTGGGCCACTTTAATGTCTAAATCATAGACTTTTTCAATATTTTCATTATACAATTTCAAACTGTTAATGTTTTTTTGAAATTCAAGCTAAAGTTATTCAACTTTTTCAATACACATTTATTGTTATTAACGTGGTTAGCAACAGGGAAAATTCAACATAACATTAAGTCCAAAATGTCAATAAAGTGGCCTATACAACTTGAAAAACTTTCGGCAAACTCGATGATTCTCAAAGCGATGTCTTATTTATAACAATAAATGACATTTATTGACTTAACAGTCGTTTCAATAGTTTTTTATCCACTGAAAGAGCTTATATATATTATACACCAAAAATATTGACCAGTATACCAGGTTTAAATTTGTTAATGTTATGCATACGATATTTCTTATTAAACAAGGCAAGTTTAAACGCTATCTCTATTTGGAGATTTTGAATAATTCGTTATATATCAGAATTAAAGTTTAGAGAAGGGTAAAATCGTATTAAGCGAAGTCCAGTGTAATACTCCGCTACTTCAACTTTAATAACGATTATATAAGTTTTTCATATGAGCCTTTGAACTACGCCCATTTGTGTAATTGTAGTGTTGATTCATAAATTTCCTCGTATATTGTTTTCTTTTAAAAATATTTAAACACGTTTTGGAGACATAGACATACTGCTTAAAAAGATACAAGACTTACCGCCTTGTTGGTGGCTTAAATCATAATCCCAAAGACTTTCAGCGTATAGTGTGGATCACAACACGGAATTATAAATTCGGTGGTTTAGTACACCACTTTCACACATTTTATTTTCTTGATTAAAGTTTACTTTTTTTATATGTGCCTGAGTGAGTAATTTTTTGTTACTGAATATTATGTCAGACTGAGAAATCTGTAAATATCAGAAGCATTTATTTTACAAGTATGTTTTGATTTGACATTAACGTATAATAAATAGGAATACATAGCCTGGTGAAACAGTTTCATTTTAATATACTGTTTTCTTTGGCTAATCTGTTTACATGCATAAAATAATACAGAGTTGCAAGACAGCCACTGTTGGTCTGCATCAGTTACTTAATTATGAAATATAGACTCGTAAATGGTTGTTTGAATTAAATTCATTTGATAAGACAAAAATACCTTTTTTAAATAAATGCATTTATTTTATGCTTTTCAGTGGATTACTGATTTATCCGTGATAAATATATTTGATAATTTAACAGTGAAAATTCTCAAAATATGACTTCGAACTTTTCAATGACGAAACTACTTTTTTAAAATTCATTATTAGGGCATCAACCCCACAAAATACTAACTTTAATATGTTTGAAGACCCGTAATTGAGGCAGACTAATTATGTATTATCAGTGCAATCTGATTTTAGCAAAGTCACGTGTCTTAATATCTGTTGCATCATGATGAGTGTCAATCATATAATAGGGGAAGCCATTTTACTGTACCAAGTTGGGACATGAGAGAATGAGGTGCAGGGACATTTTTTAATGTGTCCCTATATGATTTTATATATAAAGAGAAATATATTTTAAACTAGATAACATGAATTTTTAGAAATTTAAGCTTTGGCCTCCAATTTTAACCATAAACTTTGAGGTAGCGGTCCTGCTGGTGAGCATGACACATCTTACTATTGTAAACATTTGTGCCAAGTGATTTGAAAATCCCTTGATTGATGAAAAAGTTATGGACCCGACACAAATTTTACCCTAAAACAGACCATGTTAAATTTGACCTCCGGATGTGTGACCTTGACCTTGGAGGTAAGGGTAAGGATGTTGCACACGACACATCCTCTTTTCATAATAAACTTTTGTGCCAAGCAATTTCAAATTCCTTTGATGAATGACTTTGTTAATTGGACCGGACATGGAAGTATGACGGACGGACAGGCATATGAATGGATAGAGCCGATTTCTTTATCCCCCTTTTTATCTTCAAAAAGCCTTGAACAGTTAGATTACTTACTTACATAAGGCTTTGTAACACTCTTATATACATATTGTTTGAATTATCAAGATAAGTTCAGAATAATCCATCTCCTAGAGATCAAAGTTGACTGGTATACTAAATAATTTATGAATAAAAATAGGAAATGTCAGAAGTCCTGTAATGTACATTTTTTAATTATTTTTTTATTACTTTTGTTTTACAATTTCAACTGCCAAAATTATTTTTTGGTTCTGGAGGAGATGGAAGTTTTAACTAAAACTTAATGTAGCATGTTAACCTGTTACTGCATCCATTTTGTCCACATGAAAATCAGGCTGATTGAGATCATTCTCAAATATGTCCTGTAACACACTGTATGTCTTTGTCTCATTCTTCCTATTAACATGTAAACATACATATATGAGCCGTGTCACGACAAAACCAACATAGTGGATTTGCGACCAGCATGGATCCGAACAGCCTGCGCTTCCGCGCAGTCTGGTCAGGATTTACCAACTCTATTACATTATAGCGAACAGCATGGATCCTGATCAGACTGCGCGGATCCATGCTGGTGGCAAACGCACTATGTTGGGTTTTGTCGTGACGCGGCTCATATTTTGTTTGGTGATACAATAAAGGTCATATTAAGATTTTCCAGCTTTTTAAGTTATGGAGAAAAAACCCAGTGAGCCCTTTCTGTAAAAAGGCAATAGGTTAAGTTTTTGTATGATTTTCTCCTGCTTAAAATCTATGTTTTACTGTTATAAATTCATGAAAACATTAAGAGTTTGGTGCAATAATTATGCATCTGCAATTTTGAAAAAAAAATCAATAGTATTGCATCAAACCCACAAAATACTTTAATTTGTTTGAAGACCTGGATTTGAGACAGATGGATAATCAGTGCCATAATTGATTGTAGCAAAGTCACTGGACTTAATTTCTTTTTGCATGAGTATTAGTCATATAGTGGAAGCCATTATAGTCTGTACCAAGTTGGGACAAGAGAGAATGAAGTGCAAGGACGTTTGTTAATGTGTCCTCACATGATTCAGGGCTTCCATTATTAGTTCCAAAATTTGGAAGTCAGACACTGCAAAATGTCTGACATCAATGGAAGCAGAGCTGCATTACTGGTACTGGTACTGCAGTACGTACTGCAGCGATTTTGCAAAAATCTTGGTAAAACACTTTTAGAAGATGTTTAATGCTAAGTTCTAGCTCTTTCGGTTCTTTAAAAGAAGATTTTTAAGTTATTGATTTATACATATAAGGATAATTAATGACCCTCAGGGGGGCAGTTTTAACCACAATCCTTTTATTTGATCAAACTAATGGTAGATACCCACTTGATGTTTCATGCTTTATGCCTTAGCTCTAGCTATTTGGGTTTTTAAATTTTACTATATACATATAGGAAAAATCAATGACCCTCTGGGCGGGGCAAATTTTGACCCTCTGGGCGAGCAAATTTTGACCCCAGGGCTTTTAGTTGAGACCCAGGGCTTTTAGTTGAACAAACTTGGAAGACACTCACAAGAAGATGTTTCACGCTTAATATCTAGGCTCTAGCTATTTTAGTTTTTTTAAAAGAAGATTTTTTAAGTTTTTACTATATACATATAAGGAAAATCGATGACCCCAGGCAGGGCCAATTTTAACCCAAGGGCTTTAATTTGAACAAACTTGGTAGACACTCACTAGAAGATGTTCCATGCCAAATATCTAAGGTCTATAGCTCTTTGGTGTTGTTTTTTTTAAAGAAGATATTTAAAGTTTTTTTTCTTTCAGTTGCCATGACAACCAGAGTTTTGCATGGAATTAAATTCTTTGAACAATAAAGTTGACCACCAAAACATTTCTGTGAAGTTTGGATTAAAAGGCTAAGTGGTTAATGTGGAGATGCTGTTTAAAGTAAAATACCGTCATTATGTTCAGTTCAGATGATATACTGTTCGGTGCAGAGGTCATTATGTTCAGTAGTGAACACAAACTGTTGTATGATAACGTCATTATGTTCAGTTCATATGATATACTGTTCGGTGCAGAGGTCATTATGTTCAGTAGTGAACACAAACTGTTGTGTGATAACGTCATTATGTTTAGTTCAGATGATATACTGTTCGGTGCAGAGGTCATTATGTTCAGTAGTGAACACAAACTGTTGTATGATACCGTCATTATGTTCAGTTCATATGATATACTGTTCGGTGCAGAGGTCATTATGTTCAGTAGTGAACACAAACTGTTGTGTGATACGTCATTATGATCAGTTCAGATGATATACTGTTCAGTGCAGAGGTCAATATGTTCAGAAGTGAACACAAACTGTTGTGTGATACCGTCATTATGTTCAGTTCATATGATATACTGTTCGGTGCAGAGGTCATTATGTTCAATAGTGAACACAAACTGTTGTGTGATACGTCATTATGTTCAGTTCAGATGATATACTGTTCAGTGCAGAGGTCAATATGTTCAGAAGTGAACACAAACTGTTGTGTGATACCGTCATTATGTTCAGTTTAGATGATTAACTGTTCGGTGAAGAGGTCATTATGTTCAGTAGTGAACACAAACTCTTGCGTGATACCGTCATTATGTTCAGTTCAGATGATACCGTGTTCGGTGCCGAGGTCATTTGACAATGTGCTGAGTGGTCATACAATTATGTTGGGTTCATTCGGATATCTTCGTGTCAAAAATGATGGCGCGGAGGGAGCGACTAATTTCCTTAGGTCCCGTCGAGGCTAATGACCACTATTTTGCCAAAACAATTTTCTTCCCTCTAAATGTTATCGGGGGCTTAAAACGTTTCCATAAATTTGACAGATCGTAAGGCATTTGGGTATTTTATTTAGTTAATTCATGAAGATACAATTTTATTACCCCTCACTTTTTTCGTAATGTTAATTTCACATAGGCCTCTGGGAGTTATCCTTACTGTTAATGCAAGTGTACCACGTGACTAAGAATTTTGTACTGTTACATAGGTAACATTATTTTTAACAGTATAAAATCTGGTCACGTGGTCTATTTTCTAAATAAAATGAAATAAAATGGCCGCCATTTTTTTCTCGATTCATTCTTATTTTCGACGATAGGGCATCGCCGAAGTAACTATTACTCTCATAAAATTTAGTTCTCTGCACCCTAGAGTTCCTTTCGCGTATAAAGTATCTTTTTGTTGAATTGTCAAAAGGAAACATCCGTTTTCAACGGAAGTAATTGTAATGTGAATAATTTTGTGTCAAACTGGAACATGCAGACGATTAAAGCATGCAACAAATGATAATTTAACAATTTTAACCAGTGAAACGTTACAGAAGACAGCT